TCTTGGCCATACTATTTATGCTAAACTAAAACGACGGAGCAAAGACTTTGTACATTTACAAGCATCAAACAGGACATGATCAGCACTAATATAGCAAACAATTTCAGGGTTGCCACAACAACCTTTCTACATAAGAGCTGCATTAACTTTATTCAATTTAAGGCGATAAACGACTGACAGCCGAGTTTTCCCGCAACGATACGAATAGGCCTTACGTTTTCACTGAATTACACAAAAAATTTCTTCCAAAAGTATTATTATCCCGGCTGGACTGGATTGCAGTTTCTACCCATTCTGAGCTGGCACCATCAGCAGCCTCAGCCTGTATAAGAATACATTTTGCGAAGCAATACAATATATAATTCACTGGAAACACGAGGCCTAATCATATCATTAAGGCGAAAATTCAATTGCCAGTACCTCGTCAACTTAAGCAAAATATATTGAAATACAGCTCTTATATCGGATCTAGTGATGAACTTGAAAACCTATTTATGATACGAAGAATATTGCTACATGTTTGTCATTTATTTAACACGCATGTTGAGGTCCTTGAGGTAACATAAACTTTTCCGCACAAATTTCACAATAGACTAAAAGCTACTTAGCATCAATCATCCTCTCTGGAGGCTCCAGCAAGACAACCATCTTCACCTTCATAGTAACAACATTCTGAGGAGTCTACCAACCTGCTGAAGCGCGAGCTCCGCTTTTCTCTTTGATTCGAGACATCTCGATGGCCGCCTCATCGCGTACTTCTGCGATCCTCTGCAGTGTGATTGAGTGCAAATGATTGCGGTAGTCATCGATACGAGTCTTCTGCTCAAAGCTTAGAGCAAATAGGCGCCGCATGGATGTCGTGAACTCTCTTCGCACCTGATCACGAATTTTAGCCTCTGATTTTGTTGTGGCCTCTTGCATCTCAGACAATTTGGCTCGCAGAGCGGTCACCTCTTCAGGACGGAAGAAGAAAAATCGAAAATGCATCCGGCGTAACAGAGGGTGGGGAAAATGAGGGTAAAGTTAAATTACTAATAATGATGGTACTATATTCAAATAATAATATAATATAATTTAGTAGTAATATATAGCAATCGGGTATTATTCAAAAACTAAATTTAATTTAATTAGCCATTAGATGGTAGTAGTACAGTGGAGGATAATTCACAAAAAAGCATGCCTCCTGGCCTATCGTCCCAGTTGTCCTGTTCTTAAGATTGAAAGCGCAAATGACATTAAAGTTCGACTTCCCTCGGACAGTCAGAAACCGATTGGCCGAGGCGCCTAGGCTGAAATGAGCCAGATCTAAAATTGTTCCATCATATTTTGATACATTTCTATGAGGTAATTCTAAATTTATAGAATCCCAACATACAG